TTGAAATGCTGGAGAGCTTTCACAGTGGCATGTCCTCTACTAACCACTTCGGCAGGTATCCAGCCATTAAAAGGGATCCTATAGTAATGTTAGTAGTTTAATATCATACTGTTTTGTATTTCAGACTTCTCACCATGTGTCTGGCTGTAGAACCTCGAGGCCCTGTGTTGCGGACCTGATGACTCTCTGAGGGAAAGTTGAACGAATAACTCTCCAAATCCTCTAAGGAGGAATGCTTCCCAAACAACACAAAGGGCTGCTGACTTTTGCTGAAACAAAGAAACATTTGATTAAACAATAGTATCTTTAGTTCTACAAAGACTACAGATGACAAAAGATTCAGTATTTAGACATTGTTGAATATAGAGAATACCTTTTATCTGTGATGTTGCTTGAGATCAATCCATGAGAGTAGTAACAACGGAATGCCTGTGGATTGATGACAATACAATTTAGGACGGCACAAGTTCACTTAACAATGATCAGACCATCTGAAAATACTTATTTAAACTACATAACGTTTACAACAAATGCACATGTAGTCATTTAAGCAGACAATGACTTGATCTCCTTCTAGTTTCTATACCTTTAGCCTGTATAATGCTGAATTATAATGATTACTTACTATATCACAATATGATTCTGTTGAAAGACTGTGAATTATTGACCAGAGATTGTTCTATTGTTTGTATGAATATGTGGCAATAAATGTACCTCTCCTGCTTGTGCTTCAGATAGCTCCAAGATGGAGAGATGGCTCTCCAGGTCCATGCTGGAGAAAAAGCCACTCCACTGCTTCTCAAAGTTAACCAAGTCCTAAAATACGACAAACAACAAAATTACAATACAGATCATACCGAATGGACATGTTCACACTTTCTAAATATGACTTTTGATCAGCCAAAAAATAGACATGTCAGGACAAAGTTACATAATTACCTTTAAACAATTAATGTTTAATTATTGAGCTGGAATCTAGAATGTATTTTCTGTACATTGACATTTTAGAAGACGGTCCAGATGTCTCAGGTTGATTAAATGCAACAGAATCTTTAAAGTTAGAACAGTGTTACCTCTGTGAGGACATTATCCAGGGACACTGGGTCGAGTCTGTTGTAAACCTGCCACAGCTTCTCACTCATGTCCATTAGCTGGAAAAGCAGGTATAAATGAAACAGGAATTCTAGGATCCAAGAACAATGTAATGCTACAAATGCTGTTGTCACACGTTTGAGCTTAACGAAAGCTACCTTGTATTTCATGGTAAAAAAGCTTCCTCCACCGATGCCTTCCAGGGCAAACGCTTGAATTAGGGGCCACTTTTCCACCATAAACATATCAAACCTCTGGATGTGACCTAGAAGTAACAGAAGAGCAAGCGATGTAATGCCATGTTTGCGTGTGAACACTTCACTATCTCTTTAACACATTTGTTGTGACTGAATGTGGAGATTAACATGTGATAAAATGTACCCTGGGAGCTGTAAGGTACTCCGATACGATAGCAGTCCTGCACCATTGTGACAAAACTGGAGATTTTGAACTCCTCTGCTGCTTCCTCATCTTCATACTGGGTGTGGAGGTGGGAAAATTACAAGGTTAGACAACATAGAAAACCACGTAATTTCAGGAATAACAAGCACAAATGAAAACACAGCTACAAAGGATCATATTTATAATTTTCAGCAATGAGAGGTCTGGCAAACATTACTTTGACATGAGTTTTTGAAGCAATGTGAGACAACTAACAGCTCTCAAGATGCCCAGCCACCTGTGCACAACTTACAGGTACACAGACAAAAACACACACTACAACACACTGGGTCGTTGATGAAAAGGAATGTGCGGCTTTCACAGTGTAGATAAGGTGTTACAGTTAAGATCACTTGTCCAATAGCAACCTGCAATGGTTAAAAATGTCTAAATACTCTTGATAAGATTAAGGAACTGTAATTAACAGGAATGATAAGCCTGTAATGGAGGAAGAGGGCCTTTTAACCTCTGCCTCCGTCATGCAGTAGAGATGCAGGTTCCTCCAGTGAGACACGTAGGGCAACAGGTAACTGTAGTTCATGGGGTTGCAGTACAGATGAACACACTCTGACTTGATCAGCAGGATTACATCTGGAAAGAAAAAGACTGTGTCAGAGTGGATAAAAAATAAAGCAGGCACAAAAAAAAAAATGGGATTACAGTGGAAAACACAACTCACCATCGAGCATTTCTTCAGGAAATTCATCAAGGACATTATCCAGATTCAGCGCGTTCCTTCCATACAGTCCATAGAAGAGGTATTTCGCCAGTTCAGTGCACCCCTCATTATATCTGCTGTCAATTCCTAAAATACACACAAAATGGCATTAATATTCTGATTTTGAACAACCACAACAACTGATTGAGTCGCCATCTGTTCTGAAAACCAACCCTCCTCTCGCCTTTTGCCAGCCAGTTGGCAGTGCAGTTAGCCAGGCCATATAAACACATAAAGGTTAAAGATAATAAACACTGCAACTTAACATACCAAGAGAGCACAGGATGCCATCAGGAGAGGCAGTGCCACCCTCACACAGCAGAGACTGGACCTGACGCAGGCGACAGCAGCTGGAAAATGTAATAAAAAATATACAGGCATAGTTTGTGTTAGTTATTAATGTTAATAAAGAGATAAAGGAAAACCACATCTCAACGTTTGATAACCAGCCTTGTTCAGGACAACTGGGCTAAGTTGGACCTTTTATTTAGATTTTTTATGGTAAAAGTTTCTGGGGAAATTCACCAGTGAGTGAATCTATTAGAAACACACTTTAAAAAACATGAGAAAAGTATGAAAGCTAAGATTATGATCCCATATAAAACACTCAACAGCTTATGACTGCCACAGATTTCAGTCTTTCTCTTACAATTCTATAATTACAACATATCTGTAAATTTGTGAGCACGTTTATAAATACTTAAGGATGCATTCGCTGTATAATTAGTTTTATTATTTTTGTTTGCTGTCTTGTTTTTGGGAATGCAGTAGCTAAATACAATATTATGCATTAACGTTACGTCGTTAACGTTAGCTTTAGGCTTTGGCAACAACAGAAATACTTGCGGGGGATTTCTTAGAATTGGTGTTATAAGCTAAACTAAGTTAATATGTTGCTTAACCAGCTAAATAAGCATCGGCAGCGTAACCTATCGCCGTTTGGATTAACGTTTATTAACGATAACTGGAGTCAGACCGTCGACGAATAACGGACAGTGGCCAACGTTAGCCATATTAGCTCGACCGCTTAACTGAAGCGTTTTCTGTAAACACAAGTCGATATTAACGTTACCTGACAGCTGGGTTGATTCCCGACAATTTTCCGTTAACTCTCCTTATGCCGGCCATTGCAATTGGTCTCACGGTTCACACAATTTCTGCTTTAAACCGAACAACGTTACGTATTTCAAGGCCGAATAACTACATCTTCTCCATCACCCTGGAGAATGTCTACACAAGATAGCATAGCAACGGAGCGAACCATTTCATATTCAGGGGGGTTTCCGGAATAGCCTTATGATGTTTTGTGGAAATAGTGACAGTATAACGCACTAATTATTCTTATTCTTATTATTTATTAATAGATATACCACTATTTCTTGTACTGGCCGAATTAAGCGATTAACAAAAAGGAATTTATCCTAATTTGCCAGACGGTTTCCCCCATTTTACGCTGTAGTACTCCCTTGTTTGGGGCCGTTTTGACAGCGACAGGCAGCAGCACAGGGAGATGGTGCAATCCCTCAGTAATCTCAGCTGTTGTGTATGAAGGGAAACCCCGTCATATACTGTATCTGTGTCTATTTTACTAACACAATACATGCATATTTTCACTTGAGCTCATTTAATTCAACAATTCAGTTTTTTGTTCTTTTTTTGGGGGAGAAATTATTGCTAGTTTAAACTGATTTTCCATGTTAACAAGCATGTTTTTATTGTCTTGCATGTCATGGCACTAAGATATACTACTTCTGTTCTGGTTGAATATTTGCAGTGATGCTGATTCAGCAATGATACAAACAAGAAACAATCACAGGATGTCCCTCAGATTGGCTTTATTGTGCAGAGAGCTGCAACTTGATAGAGTCAGGTAGGAAAAGGAAACTGCAGGGCAACTGATTAAAAGTATACAAATTCCCACAATGGTTCAATTTAAAATGTTTAGTGCTGCACAAATAACCAAAATATCATCAAAATCTCAATAAAGTTCAATATGCAAATCGCAGAAGCTGCAGTTTTTTTTGACAAAGGTAGAATGTTTAAAAACAGCATTATAATGATAAGGCTGTATTATATTATTATAGTGCTGTAGATACCCTGGCCTACAAATCTTGTTCTGCAGATAGAGAGAACATGGTACAGACCTCACAACTTTCACATTATCATTATTTTAATAATGTAATAATTTTTTCAATGAAAATTTGTGATGCAAAAATAATCATTCCAACATTAATTGTGAATCATAACACAATCGCAATATCTTTCAAAAATAATTGCATTATGATGTTTTTACCATACCGTGCAGCCCTAAAAAGGTTCACCTCAAATATGACTTTCAAAATGAATTTTTAAAATACACTCACAAATCTGTTCGCCCAGTCAAAGGAAAAGCTGGTCCCTAAAAAGTAAACCATTAAAGTGAATTTGGTTTCTGGTTAAGGTGAAACTTAGGTTGGAGGTGAAGTCAGTAGTGACTGGTGTATGTTAGGATAAGTCTCCAGGGAATAAAGAAAACAACTTTATGTGAGTGTGTGTGGCAAGGAGAAAAGAGGGTGTTTTTGGCATGGATGTTTAAACGTTTAAAGTGCACAAAGGTGTTAGTAAGAAGTACTACTTCTTATTTAGGACTAAAGCATTGCTTGTGGGGGAAGGAACAGAGTTTTTTCGTAGAACTCAAGCATGACGTGAAGCATGACAAAGGTGCATTCATCAGACTAGTAGCTCCTTCATTGGAGGTTGGGTTGTGGAATGCACTTCCTTGAAAACAAAACTTCTGGTCACACGTGAAATGTTGTTATCAGGAAGCATCTTATTTTTTCCCCCGCTCATCATGCTTGTTTCAGAGCCAGAGAATCCAGTTTCAGGTATTTACTTGAGCTGACAAGGATAACAAGGAAAGAGCACCTGCAAAGACATGTCGCACAGTAAGTGATTCTTTTCTAAAATGGATGTTTTCCTACATATTCAATGCTATGGATGATTAATTAATGTGGAGGTGATTTGTAATACAAGGGCAATGTTTGCCATTGCAAGGCCTGAAAAGTAGCAGATGCAATTGGGTTATGTTTAGTTTATTACGCATTGTAACAGTAACTGTTAAAAAACACAATAATCATAATTACTTGGTGTGGACTAAAAATGATTACAAGTCAGTGACAAGTCATTACTGTGTTGTTTGGCAGATGGTATAACTACCACGAGGCAGATGATGGTGGTCATATCCACAGTGGAGGAATGGTCCTGTCTGAAGTCTCTGCTGCAGGATTGCTCTGGGGATAAACATTTCCAGTTAAACTTTAGTTCTCTGGGATCAAATCAAGTCTGTGACTTGACATTGGATAGTTGCATGATCAGCTTGCACTATGCAGATTTAAAACAAAACATGGCAGAGGAGGGCATGATCCAGGCAATAGATGGCTGCTTTAAATCTTGCTCTGATGGAATCAGTACATTTTTGCTGCTGATCCAAGGTGGATATTACACAAAGACGGAAAGAAGAATGATAGAGATACTGCAGACACACTTTGGAGCTGAGGCTTTAAGATACCTGGTAGTGCTCTCTTTGGAAGATGGAAAGGTTGCTGACACAATGGACGATGCCCTTCTGGAGCTGATAAACATGTGCGATGGAAGATACTGCCGAATCACCACATCTGCAGCCAGAGACAAACTGCTCGCTCTCCTCGAGATGGTCGACTACATGCTGGTTGAAAACGGTGTGTCCGGCTACACAGAAACCATGCTGACTGAAGCTACGAAAAGGAGCACAGAAGACTCAGCCATGAAGATGCTCAAACTGAAGGTGCAAGAGGCTGAGGAGAAGGAGCAGGCCCTTAAACAGCTGGTTATACAACGTGAGGGAAGGAGAGCTAAAGAGATGGAGGAGCTGAAGGCGAAACACGCTGAGGAAAGAAAGAAGGAGGCAGCTGAAAAAAAGCAATATGAGACAAAAAGAGAGAGCCTGGAGGAGGCTGTGCTGAGCCACAGAGCCATGTTGCAGCTCCAGATGAGTGTCACTGATGGTAAGACTATTATTACTATCCACTACTATTACTATTTTTCAGCTGCTTCCAGCTTTAAAGATAAAGATTTAAAAGATTTAAAGATTTAAATCAGAATTAGTAAAGATAAAGAAAAATACATCTCTTTCCTGTACTCCAATATTTACATCTGTACAAATATGTTAAGCAATATAGTGGTCAACATTAATGTGTGATTTTCTAGATGCATTATTATTTAATGTGGGACCCATATTGGAAAAATATTTTATTTGCCCACTTTCAGAAAATGTCTCACAAAGTTAATTTTCAGACATTTTGGTGCAACAACTACTCCCACTAGGGGGCAGCACAGCTACACAATGATATGGGCACTTATCACTCGTCATTTAAAGTATACCGTTTTTAATATTCATCTCTGCACATTTAATACAAAACAGCCAAAACACATTCAAGCCCAATATGGCAAATGACCCATTAAGAGTAATAAATACAATACAAATGGATCAGAGATATAAGCCAAATATGGGTTTACAAGTCAGTGGGTATTCTTATTTTCTACAATTTCAACTTCATGTTCTAATCTGTCTGAAAATGATTTCTAACAGCTAGTTTCCTTTTCTTTTTTGGCTGTAAGATGATGACACGAAGAAGATGTCAGTCATCCTGTTGGGTCTCTCTGGCAGTGGGAAGTCCTCTGCTCTAAATCTTATTCTAGAGAGAGCAGGTAATCAATACTCAGTTAATGAGTGTAGTGATGAGCCCCCGCAGCCCACCTTGTCTTGTGAGAGAAAGGAGGTGTTTGCAGCAGGGAGGCGTCTCATCCTGGTGGACACCCCTGAGCTGTGGGATGAGGATGGGGTGGAAAATCTGGAGATGGTCAAGGACTGCTTGGCTTTGTCCCTACCTGGACCCCATGTCTTCCTGCTGGTGCTCCAACTAGGCCGCTTCACCCAGGGCGAGTCCGAGATGCTCGGCCTTCTGCAGAAGATCTTCGGACGAGACTTTGCAGAGCACGCCATCGTCCTCTTTGTTCACTTTGATGGCAACCAGCACAGGCCTCAGAGGATCAACGACTACGTGGCCGGAGCCCATGCAACCCTCCAGGGTCTCATCCAGAAGTGTGGAAGCCGTTTTTATGAGCTGAATGTTACAAAGAGTGCTTTGAGCTATCCTCAGGTGAAAGACCTGCTCTCAGGAATCAACAAACTGGTAGCTTCACATGGAGGACACTCCCACTCAGTGAAGAGATTTTCTGAGCAGGAGCTGCAGGAGAGGAAGAAAATGATTGAAGAGAGGAAGGAGGGGGCTTTGGAAGATAACTATTTATTGAGAGATGCTTGATTTCTATACTCACAGTGTATTCAATTCCAGTGATACCAGTATATTCAAGTACTGAATAGACTGCAAATGTATTGCTTTTATCATCATGGTTTACTTGTAGAAAATTGCCACTGGAGGCACTCTGTATTGGTACATTTTACAAAATCTCAAACAATTGCAACTTAAAGGAATTATTGGCAAATTACATAATACATTCTCTTTTTAGAAAAATAATATTTATCCAATCAACGCAGCCAGTCAAAGTTGGTTAGCAATTCAGAAATGATTTTAAAATGTTGCATTGTGAATAAAACAAATAGGTGGTGGGGATTTTCCAAACTAAACAGAGGAGCAGAACACATCAAGAATTATTAATGTCTATGTTTATCTGTGTTGAGCACAGAGGGGAGGAAAAGAAGAAGTACAGCTGCAGATTTTTTTTACTGTTGGACCCTGTTGCCAGGGCTTGTCTGACAAGTTTATGAGATTTGCTTGTTGATATCTTGATTGCCTAACAGTTACATCCTTAAACACCATCCATCAGATGTACTCAGTTGCCAAGCATCTGATACAGCTGAATAAAAACAGCAAGACTGATGCAAAAGTTGTTTCATTATAGCAGTTATTGTGTAAGTCTTAAATGGTTTCTGTTCAGCCAATGACTTATTATGGTATAATGTCTTATAATTTAATGATGGTTTTTGTTATTTGCAGTTTGTCTGCTCCATAACTCTTCATCTTTGCACTCATGTATTAGGTTTAAGTAACCTTTTGAGTTTATGTTTGTTTTCTGCATGTCTCTCTCTGTTATTGAACTGCGTCTGAAACTTATTCTTCAAAATACAAAGTAACTCCAGACATGACATTTGTATGTGATCAACTGTATTTTATTGATTCTTCTATAAAGTGATTTGATAAAAATACAAAAAAGAATAAAAAAAGGTGTGATATACAATTCTGGCTAATGTGTTTGCATAGGTGGATGTAGTATATTCACCATCCTGGGGTTCTATAGAGCCATGCATTAGTTACAGATGAGAAAGGAACACTTATATACACATATAAACATATTACATTTATATTCAGGTAGAATAATGAGTGACTTAATATAAGCAGGCGAAAAAGGGCTGCTGCTAAGAACTACAATGCCGGCTTTCGTTATTTAACTGCTCGGGTCCTGTGTAGGAGGCTGCACGGCCATGATGTTGTCAATCCACTCGGTGTAGTGGGAGATTACAGTGTAAATTCCAGGCTTTTTAATTTGACCACACTTCATTCCTCCGTTGGAAGTGATTCCCACTGCAATGCCATTGTAGAGCAGAGGACCTCCAGAATCACCCTGAAAGACAACAAAAAGAAGAGCAGATTTTAAACAGGAATTGACAGAAATTAAACCCGTTTCTCAGGTGGCTTCAGTTGGCAGCACTGAATGAGAGTGAAAGGTACAAAAAAACAAAACAACTGTACACACCTAGATATAACAGAAAAAGAGTCAGCCATGACACCAGCTCTGTGAGACTTATGCACAGCACTGCTTTGAGCTAAATGCTAACATCTGCTATGTTATATGCTCAAAATGACAATGATAACATGTTAATATTTAGCAAATAAAATCTTTACCATGTTCACCGTCTTAGACAGTTAGCATGCAAACGTTAGTACAATAAATAAAGAGATTGGACCAGAAGTATAAGACTGGCAACTGGCAAGTCCAGCTTTCTCTGCACAAGTGTGTGTTGCTCTGTTACTTCTGTAGGACTGTCAGCCTGGCCAAGGGAAAAAAAAGTCCCTGAACATTTTTTTTTATCACAGAAAAAAGAAGAAACCCCTATTTGTAGGCTATACTTTTCTTTTTGTTTCCACCTATTAGTTGTAATGTTGATCAGAGATCAGTAGTGTCATGCCAGCATTCATATATGGTGTATTATAGCCTATACATTGGTTTAACATAATGCATTGGTTCATTCTAACTTACTGTTGTCTTTGTTAACAACATAATGGTTTTAGCATTTGTATTAAGTAGAAGAGAGGGAACTAAAACTTACATCACAACTGTCTTCCTTCCTGTGTGGTTTATCACAGGGTTCTGGGCATATTTTATGTGCACACATCATGTTATTGGTGACCTTTGAGCCAAAGTAGTCGCTGCGCCTGCACCGTTTCCAGCTGAACACATCCATGACCACCTCCTTGAGCTTGTCTGGTCTGGACCCAAGGTTATCAGTGGATCCCCAGCCGGCTGTTTCAACCTCTGCACCTGTGTCGGGGTTTGTGCCACCTGATCGCATGAATTCCAGTGCTCTAACAGCGTCAGAGGCGTTAAATGGACGATCCAACTGCAAAAATCACACAGATCTCAAAACTTAGAGTTCTGTCATTGGCTTGTTCCCCAAAACAGGAGACCAAATCACTTCACGTTTCAGAATACTGAACCATTGAGAACTGGCAGAAAATATACACTTACCTTAATTAAAGCAATGTCATTATTATAATTTGTCATGCTGAATTGTGGGTGATTGTAAAGTTCCAAAATATCAAATGTCTGCTTTGTCTCTTCAGGTTCACTCAGAGAATGGAGACCCAGCACTACTCTCCTTCCATTTGGCCTGTGAAACAAATCACAATAACATTGTAGTGCTGAATAACCTGCAAAAAATACTGTATAACACACATTTCCCTTTCCTATTAAATACACATACATTATGATCATAAAAAGGAGACATGCATTAAAAAATATATAAAGATAAAACTAGAGTTAATGAACAAAATCATTCACGTAAAAATAAAACTAAATATGATAATAATAATTTTAATAAAAACACAAGCAAAATCTGAGCAATCACAATTAAAGTAAATATTTTAAATAACACTTTTGCTGTTCTCTGGGACCAAATATATGATATAGTATTTATTAGTCATAAAAAACTACATTCATCATGGTTAGAAGAAGGTATCCTCACCCTGTTGGCAGACAGTGTACTGCAGTCATCACCCACTGATCTGCAATCACAAACCCTCCACACTCATGTTTCATATTCTCTCCTTCTGGCACCTGGATGGAGGCCATGTAGGGCCGAGAGTGTGGCACTGCCTCTCTGCCACCAATTATACCCTCACCTGAAATAATCAAAACACATAAACACAAAGAAAATGTTCAAATAAACAATTTCAACATTTCTGAGTGCATACAGTAACATACACACAAAGAGTATTGCATGGAGAAGAACAAAGTCACATTCCACTACATATTTATAAGGTTACTGCAAAAGTATGTACATAATTTAAAATTTTAGCATTTAATAACACAGAAACTTATCAGAAAGTACAATCAGAAGTGTTAAAAGATAAAATAATAAGCAAATATAAGCACAAGATAAGGATTTTAGAACACTTCCAGTATAGATTTCTAGAACAATACAGTGGGGACGCAATAATACAGTGAAAACAATTAGAATCTAAAACAATGGACATAAATGACTAAAAAGCCAAATCTAAAATACTGTATAAATCATTGAAGAAACCATGCCAGCATAAACTCACTCTGTGAGACGAGGGCAAAAACAAAAACAGCCACCAGAACGTCTTTCTCTGACACCATGATGCCGGTTTAACTAAACCAGAACCAGCAACCGTGTTTTAAAGACTTCACTGGAAGGAAAGAAAAACATAAATCAAGTAGATATGGTGCAATAAAACCAGTGGGAGTCTGACAATACTCCCATTCCTGTTTCCTGGAATGAACACAAACATGTTTTCTGACATATTTTGCTTTGAAAGATACTTTCTTCACTTAAAGTTCTGTTACATCTATTCCTGGACAGTTTTGCCAAACCTCTGGGAGAAAGTTTAGATTAAAAAAAAGATGCACTTATTTTTTATCATATTGCAGAAATGGTGCAGAAAACATCACTTTTTGTGTGGTTTTATGACCTAATTTCAAGTTACATAATGCTGGACGAACCCCCCTTTTTGACCTTGTGTGCTTATACACAACACTCACAGGAAGAGGACATTATCTTCTTTTCTTCCTGTAAATCCAGCAGGAAAACATTAAACACAGCCAATCTGGAACATGTAAGTACATTTGATATACTTGCAATTACAATAGGCCACAAACTCCACTGCATTGTATGTTGTACATTGAATACCACATACAGAACATGCAAAAAAAAATTAATTTAACATAAAAAAACTTCAATAATTCATTGAGACAGATTATTCAGCTTGTCATGAAAAATACTTTATACTGGAAGTTTTAGCATCTTGTGTGAGACCTCAGAATATAGGCTGCTGCAGATGGACTGCTCCTATTAATATTTTCTAAATTGCAAACTAAGTATACCATGATTTAAATCTCTAACAAAGAACACGTTGCATTAAATGACCATGTTAATCATCAGTAAAACAGGTGAAACATCTTGTAGGTCAGTGACTGTGTAGCAAAGCACATTTTGGATGTTTAGAGCTGTGCAAAGGAAGGTTTAGAGACATAAATCTTGGTTCGCTTTCAGTCTAAAATTCATGGCATGCATGGAGGTGCAGACTAACATGATTTCAATCGAAAAACTCAATTTCACCTGCAACCCGATGGGGAAGTTGAGTTCAAAATGAAATGTGAAGTCCAGTCCAGTCCTGAGCAGAGAAACTGTAGGTGATGTGAAGGAATTCCTCAGTGTCTCTAGTACCTTCTGACAAAGAGAAAAAAAAAGCCCAGACATGAACAGACCCACACAGCAGACATTATACCCCTCCAGGCTTCATTAGAAAGGTGACAAAAGATTAATAACCTATTACACCAGGACCCCGGAACATCCGGAGAGAGAACCTCATCTTTCGATCTAAAGCCACCGAGGAACAAACAGATACAATATAGATATTTTATATAACATGATGCTGACATATAAAAGCCAACAGTACACAGTCAGTGTCAGAGATGATGCAGCTCATAAAGCTCTCAACTCAGCTGAAGCACAATGTCTCTTTCTCAACACACAGTTCAGGTCAGGATGGAGTTTCTGTGCAGTGTCTAAGCACTCACAAGACTATAATTGTAGTGTTGTGCACAATTCCCTCCATGTCTTGAATTAAATATTACACCCTTACTTCCACCTGTCTTTACCTTTTGTCTTTTAACTTGGCAGCAGTCTGATGTTACTTGTCCAGACAAACTGTGCTTCTTGCACAGAACTCAAACCATGGATTTGTTTCTGCTTCCAGAGCAGCTCTGAGAAATGTTTGTTTAACTGAAACTCCTGTTGGCTGGTGTTTGGACAGAATAATCCTGTTGTGAACTTCTCAGTCTACTCAGTCTGGGAAAATTTCTGTTCAGCTGATTATATTTGGGTGGAGGTACAGGGGAAGAGAGGCCTTCCAGGAGATTTAGAAATCAAATATTTTATCCAGGGATGTATACCAGTGTTGTTTTTCCAGCAAAGGGCTGCTGCACCTGGTGATTAGTTTATATTGGATGTCTTCTCAACCTTGACTTACTTCTTTCCCAGTGCCACCGCATTGTGCAGCTTGTACTTCTGTTTTTTTATGGACTGCATATAGATACATAATGGATAAGCCTATGTGCTGCTTTGCTCCAATGAGAATACACAGCCCTTTTAAAAAACAACTTTGTGCTCTTAATGAACATGTAGTCGCTTTACAGCCCACATCAGTAATTAATGTTTGGAAGCACTAATGTGCTAAGTTGTTGTTGAGTGGGAAGTTTAGCAGCTGTACCTTCAAACTGTAAGACTGAAAAAAAAAAGACTGGATAAGAGTGCAATAAATCTACAATAAATGTCTTTCTGGTTCAGTGTGATATGAATGCAACTGCTTTTTCAGATTATGTCACAGTCTGCTATGAACAAACAACAAACTGCCCAGCTCTATACTGTTTAGTGCACAGACACTACTGTAAATTGCCACTAATCTGTAAAACACATAAAGGAATTGGAGAAACTATGTCAGAATGATCATAAAATATAGTTCAGTGAGATTAAAGTTAAGTTATGTCAAAAAAGTTCAAGAACAAATTCAAAACAGACAGATAAGTAATATTTTTGACTTTAAATAGGTCAATTATGTTATATATTCATGTTCAGATTTGTAATTTTTGCATGTTCAAGTGACCTGCTGTGCACTGACTGAAATACCCTCTATGGTATGCTATGGTTCGAATTAAATAAATGGAAGTCACTATTTATCACTTAAATCTTTCAAAATTCCTGTGAAATAAAGCACTGCAGACATCAAATCATATTTTATTGTATATATGCCAGATCACAATATATTCTGTATTACTATGTGCATTGTAGATTAGCAGAGTGGTTCTTTACCTGTGGGTCGGGACCCCCAAGAGGGTCACAAGATCATTTCTGGGGGTCACCAAATGGTTGTGGAAGATAAAATAAAATAACATATTGTGGCAAGCAGCGTGGAATGTGCTATCATCCCTTCAATGACATTCAACACAGGGGACAAGACCTAAAAACACATTGTACCGTAGGCTATTTACTTTATTTTTATACTTGTTAACAGGCCCACTTCAGCAGTAATATGAGAATGTATTTCTATCTATTATTGTGCTTTTAGGACTAAAGCAGTGGTAATGTTGATGGGCATGGGCAATGGTCTTATTGTGTGAGTTTAGTAGCTTCCATGTGTCTCTAAAAGGTTGAGAACCACTGGATTAGCATACAGTATATTGTGTTAAATTTTGCTAATGGAGTCTGTTTTAAAGTCTCTAATAGTTTACCACTGACACACAGAGACAGAAAACAGCGCCGGGCTGACGCTTTCTAATTCTAGACCTGCACTGCCCTCTGCAGGTACAAACAAGCACTAACAGAAAATGTGTGTATGTCAGAAAAAACATACAAGCTGCTGATGTTAATGGAATTTGCTTACACAGTGAATGCTTTGCTAAAAGATCATATTCAATTTAATTTGTTACAGTAAACTGAGGGAATGTTAGACAGTAAAATATATGAACAATGTCTTGAAAAGTGTGATGGTCTATTGATTGCACTGGATGCCAATTATGCCTATTTTCTCAGAAATAGGCCTATTATGAAAATTAAAGGTACTTACTAAGTGCTAACTTCCCTAATGTCTCAGGGGTTTGACCTTACAGTGATCATGTGGTTGCCTTACTGTAAAAGTGGGGAAATAATACGTGCTATCTCTTTATAACATTTTCCTCCTCCTCGCCAATTAAATCATGACTCATATACTCCCAATTACAAGTTAGGAAGAACATAATAGTTAGAAATTATAGGTTAAAACTAACAAAGCCATCTGTATCCAGCTAGATGTTGATGAGTTAATTTAGCTGTAGAAGCATTTGCTGTAAAATAGAATATCCAGCATCTGTGAGTGATTCACAAAGGGATATTATGTGTTTTATAGATTTTATGTAATGAATTTCAGTTCACCCATGTTACATTTTTACCCATACATAACTAATAAATACAGCAATACAAACTAACTGTGTGTTATTATTAGCTCTTATAACTGCTCATGCTGTATCAGACTTTTGATTGTCACCTGAGCGTTGTTGTTGTTGCCACGGAGAAGAGTTACAACTACAACTATAGCCTCGAGCAACCAAGCCCACCCAGCCAGGTATGCAGTGTGTGTGTGTGTGTGTGTGTGTGTGTGTTACATGTGTTCGTGTGTATGTGTGTATTCATCCATATCTGTTCATCCATGTGTGTGGTCTGGCACTGAACCAGTTATCAGAGGTGAGTTAACAGATTCATTTTCCACTTTATGTTATGTTTTCTAAATGTTTCATTACTCTCTCTCTCTCTCTTTTTCTCTGTCTCTCCTCCCTCGCTCACTCATTTCAGCCCCTGACTTTCATTCTCAGACACTGAGTCAGCACGCTTGTCAGTCTGTCTGGCAGGCTTTTTATCCATCAATCAATCACCCAGTTTGTCTGACTATTTATGTGCTTGATCTCTGCTTGGTCTCCGCCTGTTAGACAGTTTTGTTTTGTATTTTAAACTATTAGCTTAGTGTATTTAGTGTAGTGTATTTTAAAGCAATATATGCTAGATACAAAAGTAAAGTAACATTGTAAATCACAGTCAGATCACAATTAAAGGTCAAAACCATAATCTGAATGTATCAAAATGCTTGGTGCGCAACCAAAATACAAAACACAGGGTTTAAACTTATACTCATATAGACAGGTCTTTTAATACAAACTAGACCTAAATAATCTAAGCGATTACTAGTTTATGATGTTATTAAAGGCTGATCAGTATTTTTTTAATACAAGTCACAGGATGTGATAATGCAGAAATAGCTATGGTTTTGTTGTTGCCCATTCTGTTGTTGTCTCTCATGACTCACTTTAATCTTCATGTGTCATCCTGATTCACAAACGTCGGTGAGTTACTGGTGCATCGCTCACATATTTAAGTTCATGCTTTAAATGTTTTGCATCTCTGTTTGTTTGTCTGCTGTCATGGACGGTTGTTGTTCTTGTTTCTGATTATTGTGTGCACAGATTTTAAGATTTTGAACTGTAACATATAAATTTAATGATTGCTTTATTTATGAATGCCCATCAAGTGACTGGTGTTGGATATTAGCTTCAGCTATGTACACATACATTAGACACTGCTTCCGCAAAGGTCAACGTTTCTATATACTTGCCCCTTACA